CCCCCCCAGCTTAAGGGTTAGTGCCGAGCCTTTAACCTTGCCTTTCTCTCCCCCAACACAAAAACCCTGCTTGTCACAGCTCCTTCCCCACTACTGATTTCACTTGCATACTTGCCCTTCCCCCCTTCCTTCTCTGCTAACACATAGCTGTGTATATTTCCAACACCAGTCTGCTTTTACCGGTTCTCACGGTCTCTTCGCTTGCGGATTTTTTATATTTTTCCTTCTACCCTGAAGATGGAGGCGATACGTTCCTCCGAAACGTCGGTTAACACCACATATACACGGTGCCAAATGCCAGAAGACTGCTTTCTTCAGGATACAGATGTTTTGAAAATGTGACACAGTTCAGATATTTGGGAACAACGATAACAGAACGAAACCTGATCTAGGAGGAAATTAAGAGATTGAACTCGGGTAATGCTTGCTACCTTTGTCTACTCGTCTGCTGTCCAGAAACAGAATATAAAAAATTATAATTTTGCCTGTGGTTCTGTATGGGTGTGAAACTTGGTCTGACATTAAGGGAAGAACACTGAGGATTTTTGAGAACAGTCTCTGACATTAAGGGAGGAACACAGACTGATGGTTTTTGAGAGCAGAGTATTGAGGAGAATATTTGGACTGAAGAGAAATGCAGTGACAGGAGGTTGGAGAAAGCTGCACAACGACGAGCTTCATAACTTGTACTCTTCTCCAAGTATAATTAGAATGATCAAGTCAAGGAGAATGAGGTGGGCAGGGCATGTAGCACGAATGGGGGAGAAGGGGAATGTATAAAGGATATTGGTGGAAAAGGCATAAGGAAAGGGACCACTGGGAAGACCAAGGCGTAGGTGGAAAATATTAAAATGTATCCTAGAGAGATAGGATGGGATTTTTTATTGCTAGTGGGGTGGGACTAAGTCCCTTGTACTGCGGCTACTTCTGGCCTATTGTACCAGCCCCAGATGATAGGTGAGGGTGATTTTGGAGCATTTGGTGGAATAAAAATTGGCATCGGAAACCGAAGTACTTGGAGATAATCTGTTCCAGCGCCACTTTTTCCACCACAAATCCCACTTGACCAGACCTGGGATCGAACACGGGCCGCCGCTTACAGCTTCTGATGTCACTTCTTCTCAGTCACTGAATTCCACGATGATGCTTCAAATTGCACCTACCACCATACACATAGTCGGAATAGCGGGCCCAGGAATAGTATCCATTGCTAGACAACGGGCGGTAAACACTCAAACATTGCTAGACAACCGACGGTTAACACGCTCCCGCGGTAATACACAAGCGAACAGTTGCTAGGCAATAGTTCGCTCAACAATGGAATAATTCAGGAAACAATGTTTTCTGTGCTGTCCGTGACGATGCTATATAATGAAAACTAACTGGAAGTTGCTCGTGGTTCGCTGTAAGGAATTATGCACTCTTATCAGCCGTAACCTATCCGTGGCCAGTGAGGGCTACAACAGATTAAGAAGATTCACTGAGTAAGTATTTATATGTATTGTAGCGTGTTTTGTGTGTCAAATAATATTATATTTAAGCATCCTGTTGCACTCCATACGATAAATGATATAAACTCCGTCTCAAGTGCAAACAATATTGTCGCGTATCGGGCGTATATCGCGACAAATAACTTCTCGAAGTATTTGATGTAGCGAACTTTATTTCACATCCGCTCTCACAATCACTCAAATTACAGATCTACGATTACTGCTATCTGCAGTATCACAATTAGTACACTCCAAATGCCAGAATACAACTGACTGGCTGACTCTACGTCTCGACTCGGCGATATCCACGGTATA